TTTAGTAGAACTTATTGTATGGTACGTTTAAGTCGCAGCACCACGTGCCGGCGTTGGTGGTGCGTTTCAAGTATCTTTGAACTGATTGCGATGGTATCTCTATGCCTAATTATATTTGATATCTCGAATCGCTCTACAGATTACCATGGGTGAACTCAAATAGCATAGCTTCATTATTGCGTAACATTTACTCCATTTAGTCTGCCGTACTGGCTTGCGCACGTAATAAGCTTTTCATTTGCACCCGTTGTTGGCATGATTAGGTAGTTTCCATTTCCAGAAACACTAAAGTTTTGTTTTGAAACATCCTTAAAGAGCTTGATAGCATCCACCTAAGAATCTGAATTCTGTCATTGTTAGCACAGTTGGATATGGCTGAACAAGACAAGTTTAAAGTATCGGCAAGATCTCATAGAATTACTTTTTTGTCAACATGGAATTACGCAATTGAGATCGGATATTCATCGAAGTGGGACAAAATGGATGAAAACTATTTGGATTTGTTTTCGAAAATACCTGCTTGTCCTTAGGCATAAGTACGAAGAACACGCGGAATCCGGTTCAAGGGCTCCCATTTGTGATATTCAGCGCCCCCAAAACAAAAGCTTTCAAGTGAGTTTCCATCTTTTTTAGTACTTGTAGGGATGATTACGTCATTGGTAAAAGGCACTGACGCGTATCACTTTACTTTGAAAAATAAGTAGGGTTTTTATCTGTTCGTCACTGACAAAAACATTTGTTTTTTTGCTCTAATAGGCTCCGGCTAGCGCTTTACTTGCGAGCAAGCCCCGTCGAAGAGCCAGAAAGTCGAAGTCCGAAAAATTATCCACCTTCAAAAAAAATAGGAATCACAGTAATTCTCCGGACCTTGTTGAGGAGGTGATTGGATGGTTTGTGGTATTTTATAGCCAGGACATTTTGCGATTCTCGCTTTATAACGCTGAATTAAATGTTTGTGCTGCGATTTGTCTACCAATTTTACTTATCATTGCTACTAAACTTTAAATAATCTGCTGATTATACTAGTGCTTTAGCGGATTAATTCGTCCCCCAAAATAGCAGTAAAATCTCTAATAAGTCTCAACTATTCTTTCCATTTAGGATTTGATAAGCAAAATTGTCTTCCAATAGTACTCTGTTTGTGGCTATTTTTGTGAAACTTCTGTGCTCGACACGGCTTGAAGCTTAATTATACTGCTTCAAGAATTCTCTTATCTACAAAAACTTTGAATAGGTTTTTGGTCGTTCTTGGGAGGCTTTCGCTTCTTCGCCTTTCGGTTTTTTGCCTCTACCACAATTTTTCCTTGATATTCAAAGCATAGAACAGCTTCAATGCCAAAGAGATACTTTTTTTGAAGGTTGAAATTTACGATCAAGCAGCTGATGAAATTGAGTCGTTTTCTCCATTCCGCTTCGGCGTTGTGGTGATACAACATCTCTATTTTTCTCAACATTGGCTGCTCGGATTTCATTTGAGTTGAGAGTTGTTTGTCTTCTTCGATGTAGTTTTTGCCATGCTCTGCACAATATTGCATGCAAATCAAAAAGAGGAAAATAGGACGAAGTTTAAGGAAAGAATAATAACTACATTTGCGTTTAATTATGAAACTGGTGGTACATTTGCGTACAGTTGAGCTTCATTTATTGGTATAAATTGGTTTGGTTTCCAGGGCATCCAAATGTTTCCTGAAGAATTTTAAATTCATCATAAACTTCACATCTTATTCTGCCACTCACGTTACATGCATTCACAAGCGATTTCGCAATGGAATTAGAATCTTGACTACCTTGGTCTGTCATTCACTGTGCTCATGGTAGTATTGGTTCCCATCTAACCACAGGAGCTTGCATCAATTTAAGAAATTTCCCTTTAATGGTGCGAGATAATTTTGTCTGCTGACACGCGTTTTAATGATGTGGTTTTAAGTATGAAATCAAACTAGGATATACTGCATTTTCGTTCAATTAGATTTCTTTGTGGTCGGGCAAATGTTAGTGAGATTTCTGACATCAGGTTGATTGTGAGAACAATTAATGTTTCCCTAGACTTCAAATA